CGTGTCTTTTATGTATCCCTGATAGCTGCCAAAGAGAAGTGCCTGTGTATTTGTGTACCACTCAAACAAACCTCACTTGTCTAAGTGAAGTTTGTTTGAAATTTCAAAAATGTTTGTTTATGCGTCAGGCCCTTTGATTGTTTGTCTGACTCTGCATAAGTAAGCACAGGAATTTACCTACGATTTATGTGTTTATTTTGTATGAAAATGTAGCAAAGGCAGTGGAATCTAATTGAAATGTTTTGTTGTGAGGATTATGCATGGTTGATTCTAGGCCTTAGGTGATTTTACCAAATTATAAATAAGGATTTAGTTTTAATGATTTTTCAACATTCAGATGAACTGGTGGTGGACAAACCTGCAGACTTTGAGATCTGTGTGATTCTTAAGCCCTATCAAGTCTTTCATCCTTTCTTCCTGTTAAGTTTGTCTTGGTTCTGATGTATTTGGCTGATAAATGGTTAACCACTTCCACATACTTGTGGTATTTTGCAGAATATTCCACCATCTTTTTGCACATGACTCACATGTCTTTCTGTCTTTTTGGAGAATATCTGTTCTTCATACTTTTATACATACAAAATGAGACCAGGCTTCTGCCCCGAGGCTTCCCTGAGCCTTATTTGTTGAAGCCATGTCTGTGCAGCCAGATTTGGTCACATTAAAAATACAGTAGACACAGCCTAAATTCAAATCTGACACATTTACAGACATCACCATGCAGTTAATCGTCTTTCCATTATAAAAAGTGACTTATTTTGTTTTCCCATACGCAGACTTGTGTGAATATTTAATGTAGTAGTTTTTCCACATACATCCTTGTGTATTTGAACTCTCTGCTTCATACTTTTCTCCTTTCCTCCCTCTGGGTAACAGCCACCAGCCCATTTCCTTCTCTGCTAAGAATAGTAAGTCGGTGCCCTATAGATTGGATGACCTGCCTTTCTGTGGTCAGTTTGCATGAAGTGTGAGTGACAGTGTGTGTGGGTGGGCGTGTTTGGCTATGCCACCTCCTCCCCCCCCCCCCCCTCCCCCCCACCCCCCTTTTCCACAC